TGCATATGCGTGTTTCCCTGTATGTGGACATGAAGTATAAGTATAAATGCAAGTATGAAATATACCTAATAGGCGTAAACAATTATATGAATGGTACGAATTAAAGGCCGTCTATACCTATGCGTGTCTCCCTGTATGTGAACGTGAAATACAAGTATTTATATATATATATATATATAAATATATATTATATCACATATATATATATACATATAAATATACACACACATACACACACACATTATCTGTTGTTCGTCTTTACGTCACACACACACACACACACACACACACACACATATATATATATATATACTGAGGACAAAAAAGAAGATTGAGTTTATATATATATACACACACACACGCACTCTCTCTCTCTCAAGATTCTCAATGACACGCAAACGTTTCCAGAACATTTATACTTTATTATTTGGATATTGTGATTACCAATAATTACATATTTACTAATGATCGAGGCGGAAGTCAAGTTGCGTTTTTTCCGGGTTCAGCATGTGCTGTTCGTTTTACTCAGCTCACGTGCTATGTGAGTGTCATCGACGAGAACTAATCGATTTTTTTCAAATTTCAATATATATTGCAAATACCACCGTCGGTCATATTTTTAGGATGGGGATGGTGTGGATGCGGTGAATGCAGCGCTGGATAAGTTGGCGTTTGAAGAGCTGGTAGACGAAGCCGATGAAGAGGTTAGTCTAGTTCGATATCAAGAGTTTTGGGCCTGGCTATATATAAGATCGGGCTTACCTACTTCCTGTTGGCGTTTATATCATTTTGTGTCCTATTATCCCTATCCCCTCCCCCCTCCCCCTGGTATATTCAAACATTAGCGGATGTTACTCTCCTGCATCCGATTGCAGACACTCCATCTATTTCGTTCTTTGTTTCTTTCCTTAGTGAGGAGGTTCATAGCTACTGCAAATGATCGCAGTATGCGAGATCGTTGAGAACATCTCAGAAGCCATCAATAACGTTTTTAAAACATTCATTGGGATGTGTAGGCGATTGCTTGCTGGCATTTTTTCAATAGGCACTAAGGACAACATGTCTGGAGTTTGATTCTGAGCTTCTTTATTTTTTATGTTCATCTCGCGTCCAACGAAAATGTATTGCGATCAATATGAATGCGAGTCTTATAAAGGGATCCGACTTTATTTACACAGCTCGAGGAACAAATCAACTGGGCTGATCTACCCGAGGATGCATGCAAGTACTGTGGCATCCACAACCCACAGTCGGTGGTCAAGTGTGTAACCTGCAACAAATGGTTCTGCAACTCACGCGGGACCACCAGTGCCTCGCATATCATCAATCACTTGGTGCGCGCTAAGCACAAAGAGCTGCAGGTACCTGTGTAACAACCACGGTGTGCATGTACGCAGGTTTTTATAATAGTGCATATAACGAGTGTGCAAGTGTTTGCGTCGAAGCTGTTGTTGCTTCTCGTGTGTGCATACGATGTAAGCAGGTTCCACTTACAGACATAGATATTACGACATACTACATGCAAAGTTGTTGTAACTTGCCACGCATGCAAAGTAGGTTGAGTATCTGAATTGCATCGAAATTCCATGTGCACGTAAGTGTGGATTTGTAGGAGCACGTGTTCGCATCAAGAACTTGCGCTTCATCAGACCTATTCTGGCCACGATTGCCTAAATCGTATTCGTCCACCATTCACACACTGGTAGCCATTAATGGACACAATGTTCGTCTCTGCTTTACACAGAGCTGCGTATTACCCAGCTAACAACTAAGATTAGTGTATACTCTAACTATATGAACTCACACCCTAACACCGCGTACGGCATTCGAACAATCATAGCTGCATCACGAGGGTCCCTTGGGGGATACCATCCTGGAGTGCTACAACTGCGGGTGCCGCAACCTGTTTCTGCTGGGGTTCATCCCTGCCAAGAGTGACTCGGTGGTTGTGTTGTTATGCAGACAGCCATGCTCGTCCCAAAGCAACATGAAGGACGCCAACTGGGATGTCAACCAGTGGCAGCCGCTGATTGACGACCGCACCCTGTTGCCCTGGCTGGTCAAGGTGTGTGCTGTTTGGCTTTATATGTCAGCTGTGTGCTGTTTGGTGATAATGTCATTTATTTCGGGGTATGTTATAGTCCAAGTCAGTGTCTAATACCTGGCAACAGCCGTGCTCGTCTGGAGCTGTAGGAGGACATTAACCAGTTTGTCATCTATAGCAGCTCTACCTTGGTTGGTAGAGGTGAACTCTATTTAGTGCCGATTTCTCGCAATCTAGCGTTATGGTGCAGATTTGATCCAAATGGTAGGGGCACCTTTTGGCCATGTACAAAGGTCAAACCTTCCAGTAGCGATTAATGAGTAGAGATACAAATCAGTATGCTGTTTTGAAAGTTTACTGCATGTGCATAGCATTAAACACAAAAAACCCTTTCTTTTCGCTTTCGGAAGGTACCGACGGAAGCTGAGCAAGCACGTGCGCGTCAAATCTCGTCGAACGTCATCATGAAGCTGGAAGAGATGTGGCGTGACAGACCCACTGCTACACTGGAGGACTTGGAAACACTGGAGAGTGGCGGCGATGGGGACGAGCCCAATGCCGTACTTATCCGGTACGATGATGCGTACCAGTATCAGAACACCTTTGGCCCATTGGTGAAGCTGGAGAGCGACTATGACAAGAAGGCCAAGGAACAGCTCACGCAGAGAGGTAGGCAGATTTTTGTTCATGTATATATATGTACATCTGTCCATGTCTGATAGAATCTGCGGGACCTTCGTAGTGCTATTTCTTTCCGGTTATTCGAGCATAGACTTATTTGCTCATTTATCTAGTTTATTATACGTGAGTGGTCTGAAGTTTTTCCTATCTGTCTACATGACCACTGGTTATCACACAATTTTGATGCTTCTTATTTGAAAATTGTCACGAGCAACCATGTGAGATTTAGTTTTGTCCCCGCTCAGTGAAGCAATGTAGTAACCTTACTGCTAAACACTCAGGTATCGTCGTACGTTGGGACACGGGGTTGAACAAGAAAATGATTGCCAACTTCCATCTGACCTCGAGAGATGATTTGCGACTGATGAAAGGAGATGAAATCATTCTCAGGTAATTTGTATGAATCGGATGAGATCTGCTACTTTTGATATGGTCACCCATATCAGGGGTACATTTTAGATGCGTTTCCCTCTTGGAATATTAAAATATCATATCGTGTAATTATAAACATAAACATATGTAAGTTATAGTTTACATTACAATGTGCGCTTTTAAATGCTATTTGAAATTGGTTGACCACAGTTATATTACAACAAACGTACATGTAATATATCCACACACCTACACACAATCACTTAAATACAGGTACGAAGGAGAACTGCGTGGGCTATGGGAGGGTGTTGGATATATCATCCGTACCCCCAACCAAGGTGTTGACGATGAAATCGCTGTAGAATTGCGCTCATCTGCACACGTGCCTACGGAATGCACACACAACTTCGTAGTGGACTTTGTCTGGAAAGCCACGTCCTTCGACCGCATGCAAAATGCGCTGAAGACCTTTGCGGTTGACGAGACGTCTGTCAGCGGATACATCTACCATCAGCTGCTGGGCCATGATGTGGAGCCGCAGACTATCAAGTGCACTCTTCCGAAGCGCTTCTCTGTGCCCGGTCTCCCAGAGCTAAATCACTCGCAGGTCAGTTTATGACTTTGGATTTACCCATAGCTGTGCATAGTTTGCTTGTTTATCACTCGCAGGGGTGTATAGTTCTTTTGTGGTTGAGCACTCGGGCTGTGTATATTCTATTCATTTAGTGCTCGCAGTTATGTGCCGTTTCTTTGTCTAGCACCCGCAGTTGCGTCTGGTGTCGCTGTGAACCACTCGCCGCTGTGTGCATTGTTTTTAGCGGCACAGCCGTGTCTATCTCGACGTCTATGGAATGTGCTCCTCGTTGTCGCATAGGTGTATTCATTTGGTATTGTGCCACAGTTGTGCGTGCTTGTGCGTGCATCTATCGCACCCTTAAGTGTAGGTGTTGTATTTTTGGCGCAGTTGCATTGCAGATACAACCCGTGTGGTTGGTGTGCTCTCACCACTGCAACTGTCGTATATTTCTACAGGTGTCGGCCGTGAAGTCTGTGCTACAGCGTCCCCTGTCGTTGATCCAAGGACCACCGGGTACTGGCAAGACGGTGACCTCAGCGACTATCGTCTACCACTTGGCTCAGCAATCGCACACCCAGGTGTTGGTGTGTGCACCAAGGTATGCAGTGTTAAATCAGAGCATTCTTCTGAAGGTCCTTAGCGGAATATCTAAGTGCTGTTGATTCACATGTGCCTCGTACTCATTTATGGTTTTGATGGTTGCATTGCTTTAGGGCGCACTTAGAACGAACGAGTCTTTTGCTTTGAGACCGACTTTAACCTTCTACAATCTCAAACGTTCGCTAAAATTTGCTGAAATTACAATATCCTCCGCCACAGTAACATTGCTGTGGACCAGTTAACCGAAAAAATCCACAAGACGGGTCTCAAAGTGGTGCGTTTGATGGCCAAGAGTCGTGAAGCCATCGACTCGAGTGTCAGCTTCTTAGCACTGCACAAGCAAGTGCTGGGCAATTCCAACTATCCCGAACTGCAGAAGCTCTCGCTACTTAAGGACGAGATGGGCGAACTGTCTCAGTCCGATGAGAAGAGGTATGGCTTTGCAATTCCAAAGGCAGCCTAGCAAGTGTGCGGAACAACTGGCAGTTTTGTGGCGTGAATACATCGGGTGATGTTTTGTACGTGCTCATAACTTTAACGTTTATGTTTTTATTATTACTTCTATGCCCTGTGTGGTCAAGTGTATCTAGACATACGCTAAACTCGATTATTTCAAGTGCCAACTCTCCAGACGCGGAGTTGTATAAAGCTAGATCGAGTGGTATTGTAGCAATTTTGCCGATGTTGTAGTATTTGAATACGCAAAGCACATTGTTACGTACATGTGTCGCAGCTACACACGAGCTCATTTTTCTTCTTCTCGCTAACTTCCGCTCGGCTGCTGTTCACAGATTCCGGTCGTTACTATGGGCCTGTGAGAAGGAGCTGCTTAACAACGCCGATGTCATCTGCACCACGTGTACGGGTGCGGGCGATGCGCGACTGTCCAAACTGAAGTTTCGTTGTGTGTTGATTGATGAGTCCACTCAGTCCACTGAGCCTGAGTGTCTCATTCCGCTAGTACTGGTAAGTGTCTAGTACTGGTAAGTGTCTAGTACTGGTGGGTGTATTTCCTGCATACCCTACCGTTCAGAATCGCGTGCTTTTTTACTGTGATGGTCGCACGATGCGATAACTGTAGTTAGCTTGATGGTTCCATTTGGTGATGGTGTCATCATGCAGTCATCCGATTTTAGGGGTTCTCTTGTAACCTCAGAGTTTTGTTCTGTCTAGAAATTATATACAATTCCTCACTCCCACGTCTGTCGGTCCGTCACCCTCACAGTGCTGTGGCTGTGTGCAGCAACAGACAACAACGGAAAACTAGCGATAGTATTACAAAAGCAATACTACTCGGCTACCCCATTACTACCTCTCTATATCAAAGTCAGTATTACGTATATCATTCTGTCGCACGTCTGGCTAATGATAGAATATTATGCCAACACTTCACCTCTTTTTCTGTCAAATTTCATACTACTGAGAAAATGGCGATATATTACCGCTCCCTCTGCTATTCTGTCACAAGGCATTTTACCGTTTATGATATAACTTTATGTTTATGTTTGACACATGGCTTCCTACTAATAGGGCACTCGTCAAGTTGTGCTAGTGGGAGATCACTGCCAGCTGGGTCCAGTGGTGATGTGCAAGCGGGCGGCAGGGGCTGGTCTGTCGCAGTCTCTGTTTGAGCGATTGATTATTTTGGGAATGCGGCCGAATCGTTTGCAGGTACGTATTGCTGTACTTCACTCAGAGTCTTCATCAATTGCAATGAGACGCCTCAACTATTATGATATATGTGATGTACGGTCAATTTTTTGCACTGAATCTGTTTTTCTGTCAGATATATGCTTCTGACAGATTCATTTTACGGTTGTATTCCATCTATAGAATTCGGGTTCTATACTGCTTAGTCCGGAATTATATGTATCTGCCATCAATCAACATTTGTATGCGTATCCACAATTCACAACTGTCGAAGTGGAATCTCCGGTTACAGTTTCGGGTTATATTGTGCACGGATTTTTACAGTACGGCAGAAACTGAACCCTCACTTTAGCAAATTGTGATTTATAGGTCACATAACTGCGCTAGCGCCGTCTATGAATACTAGAGCGTGCACGATCGCTTGTTTCAAATCCTTAAAGCCAACAAATAGATGTCCATTTGTTGCCCAAAACTCACTTGAGCTGTCTTTCACATACAGGTGCAATACCGTATGCACCCGTGCTTGTCGTATTTCTCGTCCAACATGTTCTACGAAGGGTCGCTGCAGGATGGTGTCACGTCCACGGAACGAGAGACTGAGTAAGTGTGCAAGAGTCCGAGTATATGATTCGTATTCAGTGCTTGTCCATCCGATGGCCTCATGATCGGCGTGTGGGGAGAGGTCATGTTCATAGCTGGAACATTTTATGTAACTACACTTGGGCGATCTCTAGTGGATTTGACGGCTTCATATCGTGTTTCAGCTCATCTGTTACATTGTGCCACATGTGTATCTGCTATTGCGCGTCCTTCTAATGGACTGCAGTATGTGCAACACCGGTGCATGATTACATGCATTCTTGTTTTGCTTTGATCTGTATGTGCATTCTGGTGTGCGTGTCCATTCAATATGCAAGTTGAATTATCTTTAGGAAATTGGGTTTGTAATTAGTGGCTATTGTGGTACGTCAATAAGTAATTATATCTCTGCGAGCTTATGATGCACCTATAGATTGTTTTAAACTTAAAGTGCCGATATCTCAACCCGCAGCTACGACTTCCCATGGCCCGATCCTCGGAAGCCTATGTTCTTCTGGTACACCATTGGTCAAGAGGAAATCTCTACTTCGGGCACTTCGTATCTCAATCGCACCGAAGCCACTCGAGTGGAAAAGTAAGTCTACCTTTGACGAGCAAAATGCTTGTGTATACACTGCCGGTGGTTGTTGCAGTAGATGTGTGAGATCGGGCGGTACATCGTGTATAAAAAACCAGCTAGTTGCTGCTGTGGTGTATTGCTAGGTGTATGCTCATTTGGGCTGTGATGTAACCGCCGTGGATCGTAAATACCTAAATGGCCACAAGGACTACTCATTTGAGATGGGGCTATTCTAGGCACAACACACGGCAGTCATACACGAAAATTATGGTGTCTGTGTCGTGTGTCTGAGGTGTTTACTCCATATTTCTCAATATGTCTTCTCGTTTGCGCACGTGTCTGGCGCTGCGAGTATATTGTCGCTCAGCTGGTTTTTCAATTATGTTGTTCAATCCTGTATTGGAGTGATACAGAAGTGTTCTGCTGAACCTCATCTATCTTATGCACAGAAGAAGCACCGTACACTGTGAGCATTGCAATACCAAATCCTAGCTATGTAAACAAATCCTAACAACGTAAAAAAAATCATAGCCATATAAACCCGGATACCATGAAACAGCAAGCTGACACCCCGATTATGATGTCTCCCAATGATTATCGCACACTTTAGATGTGTAACGCAGATGTTGAAGAGTGGCATTCTTCCTGAGCAGATCGGTGTCATCACTCCGTACGAAGGGCAGCGCAGCTACTTGACTCAGTTCATGGCCTACAACGGTCCCATGCGCTCAAAGCTGTACGAGGTATGTGTTTTATCACATCATAAGTATATGCATACATGGTGCATTAACCGCAGTTAGTCATATGTATTCATGTTTGGCCTCAGTGTAAGATGCTATATTGAAATTACCCTGAATTTAGACAATTGATTACTTAGAGCCCGCAGCTTGATACAGTTTGATTTGCGAGCGCAACAACTTATTCGCTAACTAAATCATGTACTTATCCATACCGTCCCACGGTTCCACTTGCATTTTAATTGAGATCTTTGACACCCTTGATTGGCACCGTTGACACTACCGATTGACACGTGTGATGGTTCCTTTGACACTTCAGGAGGTTGAAGTAGCCAGTGTCGATGCCTTCCAGGGTCGCGAGAAGGACTTCATCATTTTGTCGTGTGTGCGTTCCAATGAGAAGATGGGCATCGGATTCTTGAACGATCCGCGTCGCCTCAATGTGGCGCTGACCAGAGCCAAGTCAGGTGTTATCGTCATAGGAAACCCCAAGGTGCTACACAAGCAGGTAGGAAAGCCCGCACATGCAACATTATAAGGCCAAACGGACATCAGTATACATCTCACATGCAACATTATAAGGCCAAACGGACATCAGTATACATCTCACATGCAGTGCTAGCAAGCACGCACACACAAGCATACACCACGCATGCTGCACTAGAAAGCATGCACACACAAGCGTACATACACCACACCCAATTGTGTCGGTGGTTGCTAGACACACTCACCCAATCACACCAAAAGCAACTTTAGACACCGGCCTACCGTTGAACCATAACGTTCAAGCTTCACGGTTCAGGAATTTGCGAGTGGTTTGTGTGCTTGTGGCTGTTCCCGTGGTGTGGCACTTGTCGATGTGAATACAACAAGACAGACGTCTATGTAGCCACTAAAACCTACACTCCATCACCTGCACGTGCATACAGGTGGGCTATACTGTCACAAAATATATGCACACGCAAAAAAGGTCCTATGTGAACGTGTTTGTATACCAATCTGCCCACCTCTATAGGTATATATATCGGAATACAAAGTATTCAACTCCACGTTTCATTCATACCGGCGCTGTCTTTCTCATATAGGCCCTGTGGAATGCTCTGCTTGTGATGTACAAGGAGAGCAACCTGCTGGTAGAAGGGCCCCTCAGTAACTTGAAAGCCAGCAGTATGATGATTGCTGCACCGCGTGTGCCGCGCCAAAAGGTATGCTGAGGTTAGGTCGCTACCAAGTGTATCCGGAGCGTGCGATATATGGTTGTATACGAAGTAGCGCGGAATATTTGGGTGCACGGGCATTTCGTGGGTTTATTTGTTCCGTTTATTCGTCAGCACCTGTCATTGATGTGACAATGGTTTCATCATTTGTCGTATGATTTGATACTGGTTGGACCACTTGTTGTATGATGTGACTAAGGTTTCACCATTTGTCGTATGATTTGATAATGGTTGGACCTCTTGTTGTATGATGTGACAATGGTTTCACCATTTGTCGTATGATTTGATAATGGTTGGACCACTTGTTGTATGATCTGACAATGGTTACAGAGTTAGTTTGTGACCACTCGACTGCTTGATCGCTCATGCAAGTTACTGACTTCTGCCATCTGCACTTCTTGCGCACTGCAGCAATCGAGCTACGCGTACGTGGACCAACAGCGCTACGGCAACGACCAGTACAACGCCAATGCAAACATGGGCCATCAGCAGTACAGCAACGGCCAGGCCTACATGCAGCACCAGCAGCAACAGCACCAGCACCAGCAGCAACAGCACCACCATCAGCAACAACAACAACAGCAGCAGCAACACTCGCAGCAAATGCACCAGCACCAGCACCAGCCCCAGCAGATGAGCCAGGGCTACGGTGTCCACCATCCTGGTATGTCCACGTGTTCTATGCAGCTGACATTTTTTGTGAGAATAATAGTACCGCCAAACCTCATGACGTCGTGTGAAGTAGTGCTATAGATGCGGCATATGCAATCATGTTTATGCATTATGCGGCTGCATTCGTATTGGTGGTTATTCACACAGACAGTCTTCCTTTACACTGTCGATGCGGGCTAAATTGCACTACACCACCAACCACCCTAAAACCCTAAAGTCCTGAAACCCTAAACTCTGAGACCCTAAACTCTGAAACCCAGGTCTTAGCATGCAGCCGGTAGAGTACTTCAACACGCGCGATCCGCTAGGGTTCATCAACCCTGAGGCGGTGTACCATCCGTCACTAGTGCATGCGCCTGTGCCTGTGGGCTACTTGGCTCCGCTGTCGCAGCACAACTTCTACAGTCAGCAGCAGACCACCTCACAGAATACCCCACACACCAACGCACACACCAACAACCACGCACAGCACATGGGAGGAGGCCACCAGCACCAGCGCAACGCGTATGTGGCGGTGTTTGCCTTTTACCGCAATTGCGTGTATTGGTGGGGTTTTGTGCACGTTCATGCGAGTGTGTATTATTTTCGAGATTTTCCATGGTGTACCTATGATTGGGTCGGTATACCTTATGTTGAGTTGGTGGCAGTATTGCTTCTCTGTCGACTTATTCATATATTCGTATACTATACATGCTTTTCTGGGTCAGTGCCGTAGCTACGAGAATTGATCGTATTTCTGCACTGCTGTACTCGCATGCAACATTCTCATTTATAGTAGTATGATCGACCGCATACGCGCTAGTCTACGTGTAAACAAACACTGTGTATGCGTGCTCTGATACATGCAAATGCGCTTTCCTGATTCTCTTCGAAGTCCCTCTCAGTAAACATCACATCGAGCTATCCATAGTTTAGCACGTTCGTTGAGCTTATCTCGAGACTGATATTGAGCTAAACTCCATCTTGTTTGACAATCTGATCGCACTCCCTTACAGTGGTAACAACGCCATGCTGAAAGAGCAAGTGGTGGGCGACAACATCCAGAGCATTGAGCTTACACAGGGCTTTGCCGACAGTCAGGTGAGAGTGGATGTCATTGCAGCGAGTTGTATTATGTTATTGCTGGTAGTTGAATTTGTGTTTGCACTGGTGAGCTGTGGGCAATGGCGATCGAGTGCCGCAACGTGGGAGTCAAAGTTAAGCCGTGGCATGTGTCGTCGTGCTACATTCCGTGTTACATTTCTTTTCAATGTGTACTACTCTGCTCGAGTGTGTAAGTTGAGTGTGTATGTGCACTGATGTTTCTTCAGCCTATGCATGTATGCTTATAAATTTTTCAAGCTTCGCCCGCTTTTTAGAGAGCGGAGGCACAAGTTGATGCCATACGAATGATGTACACGCACTAGCAGTTTGGCGAGTTGTCAGGTGCGGGGTTGTTTTTGTGCTAAGTAGCGTCTGCTCATGTTTATTTACCTTCTTGCGACTGTCACAGTTTGATGGTGCCGAGCCTTTGTCTCAAGAGGAAATGGACGGCTACCATACGCAGACCTACTAGCGGATTGCTGTTTTTACACCTCGCACGTCGTCGACATGAACCGCTGATGACCTGCTGATGGGACGACATTGTGGCCGTGCGCTTCACTAGCAATATGTGACTGTCACAAAAGTATCATAAGTGCTGCCACCAGATATTAGGGTTTTCCCGTTGGCCTTTGGCATGGTCTCTGGCGTGGACACTTCTGTCGTGACTTGACGATTCCTTCCTATTGACACCGTTGTTGCGTTGTTGGGATACTTAGCTTGGCACCGTTGTTGGGATACGACCTCTATGCTGTCACGGATCACCTTTCTTGTTGTGGTTCAAGGCGCCCATTGCGTCTGGAAATGCTCAAAATCGCTGCTACGCAGCCGCATAGAGAAGTTCGACATCGAAACGTCCACTGCATGTCTGCAGCGGCATTGGAGAGCACTTATTGTAATCAAAGGTGTGTGGGGGGGGAGCTGGACAGAGAAGTTGGCTCCCACGAAGGATATGCATAGAGTTGCGTACTAGTTTGATTTTGGAGGCGTAATGCCTGGACGTGCACTAACAAGTCCAAACGGAGTATGCAACCAGCAAACGACGTGTTCGCTCAGGCATTTGCCGCATTGCATTGGTCTGTATATGAGACGGCTGTGGTATTCATAGGCATATCTATGGCCATATCTGCTGAGTTATGGCCACTGCTGCAATATGAATACCGCGCAGCTGCCGCGAAGGAACCGCAATCAATTGGTGGATTGAGTTGTCTTCCTTGGGAAAATGGCGTCGCTCAAAGTTTGTGAACTCGAATGAAACTAGTAACTGTCAAGAAGATTTTATTTCTATAGGGCGGGCGGGCAAATACGCTCAATAATAGTTCTTTAGGACAGGCATTCAAACCGTCAGTAGAGATTCGAACCTTGATTCACATCGAGGACACCTCGGGGGATTGGCTACACCCGGGGGTGGTTGTGCGTAGCTAACGAGCATCACGGGATGTACAGCAGATATACTTAAGTATGAGCCTTCGCAGGCGTATTCATGAGTGTAAATGTAGAGGGAGGCGCTCGAGTACAACCTAGAGGCAAAATGAATGCTGCCACCTGCATGATCCAATAAACATGCTAGATCTCAAGCACTTTGCCTATTGGTGTTGACAACCACTGAGATCAATTTTGGAGTCTACTGGTATAGCCAAGGAGCGCATATCGATCTTCATTGGTAGTCGATAATGGCGCCCTTGGATCCGCCGCTGCCATTATGTCTATCTATATGTTAAGATATTTTTATTAGTTCTAAATGGTTTGGTTGCCTTCCATTGCTAATTTTTTTACTCGAGGAGTATCATGGTACAAAACCTGTTTTACCAACAATGTTATAGGTTGATGGCATTCTAAATGAAGAAATATCTAGAATTTCTTTCACTATGTGGATATTAAGCAGACTATCCTACAATTGATGGAGTCTGTGTTTGTGTTGTATGAGCGAGTGTGCCTGTGCTTGGGGACCCAGCAGGTAGGCGACAGCGGCGAATGTAGTATGCTAGTCAGCTGCCTTGCAGCATGTGCTACTTCTCTTTTCAAATTAGTTCATATTCCATGACAAGTACTACCATGGAATTGAAATAACATCTCCTATGCATATATAAACATGAACTTCCAGTTCATGGCGAGTATGCCTCAGGCAAAATAGCCTGGTCTTGCACTCATGTACCGTACTATATTTGATTATTGCTCTGGCGTGGCTTCTGATGGCTATGATATCGAACATGCTTTCAAAATGTGTGGCTATACTTAGAAATTGCGCCTACGCAATTGTAGTTACCTGTATGCTTTGAGCACACTCAAGGCATAGGTGTGCACACCAAGAAGCCGAAGCGTGGAGATGTGTGCATATGATATGAACGAGTATAAATCACACTCTTGACTGAGCTAACATTCGCAGGAAAAATCAGAATAACGTTGACGAGGTGGACTTGATTATCTTCAAAAGAATTGATGTCGTCGAAGGCAAAAAGTCAGACAACTTTCTGTGTATAGTTCAACAATATCTGAGAGCCCATTTGCCAAATCATTACGTAGAGATCGACTGCTCGTACAGCAGTAGAGTACCGTCCATAAAACAGTACGGTTTGTTTATGCACACACCGTGCACAACCTTGTTTTAGGATCTGCTCAGTCGGTTCAATCGAGGCAGTCGATACTGGTACTGTATATATTCTAAAACTTGGATAAGTTTCACGCAAGTAGAATTTGGGCACAGCAGTCTTATATATATCATTTCTCATCACAGAAGGACTTGACACGGCCATACAAAAGCCTGTGGTCTTTCACGATTGCATGCGAACCATTTTTGTGCGCCTGAAAGGCTGTACGCAGCTGTCTCCCACTCCTGGGAGAGTCACAGTAAATATCAGTGTTGTAGGGGGTTGCTGGTAGCAGTACAAGGTGCATTTGCTGGGTCTAGTAGCAGCAGTTGGAAGGTATACACTTTGGTAGTAACCTCCCACAGCGCGCGGCGTATCTGCAGCAAGTGAGGTCAGGCTGTATGCGACAGAGGTATGTAAGTGGCGTATAAAAGATTAGCTTGGAAATTATTAACAGCGGCAAGTGTGTTCAAGTATATCGAGGACTAGCACAACATGAATAAACGGAGTTGACTGCGTTAAGTACTACAAAGAGTATTGGAGGTGCCACAAGGTACCTCAAGTGTTCTAGAAGATTGAAATTAATATCTTAGTGAAAGGAACGTATATTTATATTGTTATTTTGCAATGAAGAGTGAAAGATTGTTGTGTGCGGATGTAGACTGGAGACGTATGTTTATGAATCACGCTAAATACGTATGCCACTATAAGCATTGGTTAAAGTACTTTTAGAAACAGCATATCCTCTCAGAACAACGCACAGCTTCTGGGCTGGCACTTGTGCTTGCGACCTCATCATATTCTCCTGCTTGAGTCAGTTTTTTCGCATATTATTTTTGTGACTATACTCTGCTGCCTACTCTCTTTCACTTCCTGCACCGAGTGCACATTCCTAAACCCTCACTCAATACAACGGCAGTGCACACACAACATTTATGAGTCATCGAATGTGATTCTGTTCAATTTCTTTACAGAGAGAGCAAATCATATGGCGGGAATACAAGTATTCACGCCACCACAAGTAACAAAAACACACCAGCAAAAACACATGGACACCCCAACCACATCGAAATCAAAATGTGATTTGAACAGCAGTCGCGGGACACCAGAAGAACACAATAGCGCAAGTCGACATACCAGCCAAGACTGACCGGACCTGGTGCACTCATGAGCCGACACCTGCTCTCGACATTTCATCACGTACTCTGTATAGAATATGCGACGAATAGAGGTCTGCTTAATGCCCAATAAATAGTACCAAACAATAACAATCTTTTTGTAATCGGAGTCGCATATTTTCTAAGTTTCAAGGTATGTCTTCTAGTTTCAAAGTATCTCAAGCGTAGTTTCTAGCATTGGATGCAAAACTCACGCCACACTCCTTGTATAAGCAGTATTGTGGGGGTGGGCCAGAAGTAACAGACCATGGAGTAGGATATTGCACGTGTGTAGGTGCATGTATACCGCAAAAGAATGTCGCACACATCCACAACCACCTACCAGTGCCATCGCACACACCATACTATTACATAACGATACTGTATTCTTCACCATAGAACGGCGACGAACAGTACTATATACCATAAAATGGCAAATATATATGTATAAAAATAGATATATGTGTATATTCTTTGTGTTTGTATATATTTGATGGGGTAGAGACGAAAACAATTCAGGCAGAAGTTAAAATCCAGCGGCTTAGACTCCGCGAGAACGGAAAACGCCGATGTATGAGTGCATAGTTTAGTTGGACTCAAAAGACATACCATGTCTTGAACCCCACTCCAAGCAGACGCACATAGGCAACATTGCCCACACCTTTGTGCTAGCAAACTGGCAGCGTACGGTAAGAGCATGGACAAGGAAGGACATGACACACAGCAAGAACAAATACACGTATGTCTTCGAACATGCATACCTATACAAGCATTATGCATGTACGCATTGATACAACAAACACAATGCGAAATACTATGGGTATATGGTAGATGATACTGCACATAGTTGCTGGTGTACACAGATACCATACCTCACTCTACGCATAGCTGTGCACATAGTTAAATATCATATTCGATGCTTTACGTCTACATACACCTTCTTCAGGCCGTGCAGGAGGGTGTGGGGTAGATACAGCATCGGTGTACTGCACAACACTACGTATGATACTACATAAACATACCTATTTAACTGTGTTACAAGTATATGACACTACACACACCGTTCTCAGGCAATGCAGGAGGGTATGGCTGAGGTGGATTCGGTCTTGGTGGCTGCGGAAGCTGAGGCTGAGGCTGAGGCGGCTTAAGCTTCTTGCTCTCGCAGCACTGTTTCTTGGAGCACATGGCATACTCGCCTGCATAGCCCTCGTAGGTGCACCTCTTGTCTTTGGGCGTGCATGCTACGATATTTTTGTCCACCCAGTGTTTGCATGTCTTGATAACAGGTACAGGCGAAGGGGAAGGTTCGGCTCTCTTGCAGCACACGTGTTCAGAACAATCCTCTGTGCCCTCGGTGTGTGCGTAGTTGTATCGGTGATGTCCATCTGTTGCCACAATAGAAGCGTTCCGCGTTGTGGGAGTGAACAAGTGGATATGTATGAGTTGATTGGATCTGAGAGCGAACGAGAATAAAGATGGCTGGGATCTGGTCCCTAAGGAGTGTTAAATCTAAGTTATCTGGAGTACTCCTCACAGCGCGGACGAACGATGCTCTCTGTTTCCAAAACAAATACACACGTCGCAAAAGTAGAGCTGAGCAAACAGCAGCAACGCGCCAAGAGTTGAAACAATCTATCGACAAATATCCGCAGCGCTTCTAGATGAGTTGTGGCTACTCACCTAACACACTACACACACGTGACAAGAGATAGCATGACACTGAGTGGAATGGTCAACGAGTCTGCAACAACAATGAAAGACTATTGTGTACATCATGTGTTCACCAAAGGGATGAGAGTGTGCAACAACAATGAGAGACCATCGTGTACATCATGTGTTCACTAAAGGGATGCACGGTAATAAGCAGAGTCGAATGAATATGGTATGTGCAACAAGACGTACTCCGGATACGCGGACAAATGAAATACCGACAGACCCTCGTGCATATAGTGTTTATTATACACCCTGGTGCTGCTAGTGTTTGCTATAAACCCTCACGCTTCTAGTGTTTGGTCGTGTAGTTTCAAGTATACATCATGATCACAGGGCTCATGGTGGGGACAACTACAAAACAAAAAAATCTCAAAACATACACACGGTACAAAGGTACTCTACAACTTCAAATACATCAAGCAATACGCAAAAAGAAGCTGTTGAACTTCAACCGTATCAGCATCAGGCGAGCCACACGTTCACTACGAATTGTATGCATCCTGTACGCATACGTTCACGCCCTCCATAGCAAGTAGTGGACTACCTTTGACAGCGCACTCTTTTTGCTCGTTCGTGTCACAGTGCACGTTTCCCTCATCGGCCCATTGCTTGCACTTGATGATCTTCTGAGGTGGCAGACAGCAGTGGTCCTTTGAGCATTGCTTTATCTCCTCAGCATTCGACCGTCTCGTACGCTCTCCGGCGGCACGTCTGCGATCTTTGGATAGACAGATGTGAATGCGAGTATGTAAATACACTGAGACTCGGTGTAGATGCGCTGTGTTCGGCTCTAGACAGAGCTTTGATAAGGATCTATAGAAGTAGAAAATGGACCCTAACCAGTACGGGAATGTCTCATTTGGCATTCAATGAGAATTTTTGCGCCTCAATTTATTCCATTATATTGACTGATGCCGATCCAAATATCAACTGCTAAATATTACAGGAAGATCTGCTAGCGGTTTAGACTTAACCTACTTCGTATCGTAGAGTACTATGGATACACAAGTTACGACAATGATCCTGCGCATTGAAAAATGCTCAGAGGCAAGTAGCATACCACTGTTAATTGAAATTACTTTTAAATACCTCGCCTGTTGGCTCGTACACCTATGAACTATATGTTAACTTGTACACCTTTGAGCTATATGTTAACTTGTACACATATGAGTTATATGTTAGCTTCTACACCCATGGGCCACATTAATGAGACCTCAAAAAGGAACATTCATTTGCTGTCATCCACCGACCCAATTGAGCACAACTGAACCAGAAATGTTCAATGCAGTTGACAAGTCATCAGACAATCACAAAAGACTCAAGCACAGTGGCGACCCGTACACAGTGTCTAAACTTTAACCGCACCACCAAGAGAAATACAAACTGTACGATGCGAATTCACAGTAGCCCTCAACTCACACATGCAAGTTCTAAGTATAACCCTACACACACCTCCATATTCAAAGGGTGGTCCTGAGTAGCTGTTGCTCGGCCCTCCAGTGGCTGAGTTGTAGCATCCATCTCAAATACCCGATCGTAGTTGTTCTGCACTACATTCACGTTATCGGCGATGATGATGTTGTGCTGTGCTGCAAATTGTGAGCGATGAGAGGTGAGATATTCGCATCACGACTCGTTCTTTTGGTGTGGATACTGTATGGAAGAATTACAACAGCTGATACATTTTCATCCAGGATACACTACACACACACTGACAGTGAGGCAGAGTTCTGAGCCGACCCACTGTGGTATGTGCATAGAGCTGAATCAGTACAGAATGTGCATCGCACAGAGGTGCAATCTGTGTCAGTATCTGGTAGTAGTATACGCCTACTTACTTGGGTTAGAGTTATCATCCCTGTCTGGGCGATCACCCTTATATGAATGCTCCGTAAAGCATTCATCATCTCTTGGCTCGCATTGGTGGTTGTTATCTTCTACCCACTCATCACACCACACCACCGGATCTGTTGGTTCTTGGTAACAGCAAACCTGTATGCACGGAAGGGACTTGTTAGAGATTTTGCACAACAACACCCCGTTTATAAACAAACAGCATTACAAACAAAGCACATGTACTTCTATTTGCGTTCATTAGCTTTGGCTGCGATGCACATGGCAGAACATTCACCTCGTCCGAGCACTTGCCATATCCCATGAGACCGTGTGAGTGACACATTTGCTCCTTTTTGACATCACATCTGACGTTTTCTTTCTGTGCCCATTCCCCGCACTTTTTGGGTTGGGCTGGTGGAGGCCCGTCGCAGCATCGTTGCACTGAACACTCGTATCGTCCCGGGTAGCCATCAGTGTATATATAGCAATCTTGTGTGTTCATGGTACAGTCTATGTCTTTGGCATGCACCCATGCGTCGCATTTGCTGTCGATGATATCTGCAATGACCGAATTATTGAATTAGCTGTGTTAAAGCTTTGACAAAGACAAAAGAGACAACCTTGGGAAGCTTTTTGAGTTGACGGCTTCACCGGCACATCATACTTGTTAGCGAACGGCGAGTACGCATACACAATCACATACTAGAAGTTTCGAGCGTAAATTTAGAGACCATAAAGTACTTGCTTTGATCGGCAACATACCAGCAGATGTCTCGCAGCAGAACTTTGCAGAACAGTGATCACCCGCCCTGTGGATTGGTGTCTGACACTGCCTATCTTGAGCTCGACAGTCCATGCCTTGTGAATTGATCCAATGTAGGCACTTCACAGACTCGTGATCTGACCGTGATGAACGCGATGCAATGTTGATCTTGGCATTTGCACCATTCATGGCTTCCATTTCAATCTCTGCGTCGTGCATGTATCTAGCTATCTCTCCATCTATCTGTGATCCCCCAAGATTACTATCAGAAGTTGCGTACGCATATTTGAGGCTTCCCACGAGGCCTAGAGAGAGTATACAGATGCTTCTGAATGAATTCATGTTGTCTTTCCCCCCAAACTTGGCCAACACTATTCACTCGATTGATGAGGGTTCGTCTCACACTCTCACATGCAACCTGCGAAGCGTACGGTCACGGGAGTTTCTTCCGATTGACTAGTTGATCGTTCCAAGGTGATGTGAGTATAGATTATTAGCTAATCTTCCACTATATCATACACTGTCTCATGCCCGTACCGATACTAATAAGTGTCCACGCCAAACACTCATCTAAAGTCTAAAATCAATGTATGTTCATTGTTCACAGGCGCACTCAACTATCGCAAGAAGTTGAAGGTGTTTATTGAACCACCAGATAAAGTTGCATGGCCTGAAAATCGGAAAATGTGAAATTTCTTCGCCATTGATAAATCATAAATAGAAAATAATAAAGAGTAAAAAAGTAAATAGAGTAATTGCAGTGACTAGCAACTGATAAGGGCGACCAATAAAAAATATGAAAATACATGCACAAAAAAAAATTGTATTTATGTACGTACCATTATACACGATCAAACCACATAGCAAATTAGCAATATAATTATAGCAATAAAGATTGATAAAGAGATCTTTGATCTGAATTCTAACGACCTTCAGATAGTGTGCGGACCTTCAGATAGTGTGCGTAATAAATTGTATGATTCTCTCCCGTGTCGATAATGCTGATTCAGTGATTCTCGTGTTTCTGTGACATAATCCTTGTCTGATAAATAATGATGGACCCCTATATTGGTAAAAGCAACCCTCTCGCTTCAACAACCGCTCTACTCTTGTATATCATTCTTTATACAAAGGTGGATTTGTATCTACGTTTAAGTGAACTCTTGCATGTTACTCCTGAGGTATAATAAAAGGGGCCGAAGTGATCATGGTTCCGAAGCCCTCGCCTGTTTCAGTATACCTCGTAGATCGATGCAGTACATACCATTCTAAATAAGTATACATGCACGATCATACAATACCAACGAATGCTGATTGACAAAAGATCTTTATTCTCGGATAGTCTATTTGAAACGACACATGGTTGCCCAATAAGCTATGATAAGAAGATCACATGCGAATGTTTGTGCACTCAGAGTGGTTACTCTCTCAATTCAAGTTCGATGGCGGTCTAGAAGGTAATGAATGATTCTACAACGTATGATTCAGTAGTTGTCATATGTGAGTGAAAGCCTGTACAAATTTCCAGGAAATGAGGGATAATAAAGGCCTTGTACTCAACTCAAACCTTGAGGCAATTGTTTTTGTTTTGATGCATGTGAATTGTGATTTGATGATTTCCCAACAATTTTGTTTCATCTTCTCCACCCGGGGTTTTCATGCTAGAGTAGCCAGTTGCTAGCTTCATATACAATCCAAATAATCTGCAAAATAGATCAATATCGAATACAAACTTTGAACCAATGGTGACCACATAGATAAAATGCCATTGGGAGCTAAATTAGTGCTTGAAAACTATGCATAGCAGTTTTAAGCGTGTGAATTCGTTGAAACTGGGTTAAGTGTTTCACCCTTTCAGGTAGCGTTGCGACTTGCCAATCCGGTTCGTACCCATGCAGTAAACGTTGCAATAATGATTAGAAAGTTAAAAAAATAAAAATGCCTATGTATTCGATAATTCTAAACCACGCGAAGCGGAGGTTATTATGAATTTACAAAATAGAGGACGTTGTGGGTACTGGGTTGCGTGATGCGTCGGACTCCGCAGGCCCGCAGCACTGAGCACACTCTCGCTGACTCACTGAGCCACTACTCACTATGTAAAAGTGATACATATAATATTATGGAGTACAAGACTACAAGTCGTGACCCTCTAGAGAAAAACAATTAGAAATAGAACTAAAATATAGGGGATCGCTGTCGTACTCCGTCCGAAGGACGGTACAAGTTTTAAATAAAAAAACATCAAACACAAGAGTCATGACATAGTACGGAATTTCTCTTGAGTTAAGGGTTTTGTATCCCCGCATACCATATTTGGTAATTTATGGTTTTTATATAAGTTATAAGGAAGATATGTTCCTGCAATATTGTTTAACCTTCCTCTTCAAGTATCCGACGCGCAGACAGCAGTGGCCAAGTTAGCGTGACATCTGAAAAACACTCAATAGTGTCTAATTGTCGTGTCATAATCGAGCCCTACTTCACCCGTATCTATCATCTGTGCTCGACAGATACCATCATGCCGCACCTTCTGAATCTACACCATCTTTTTCGAGCGAGCACAGGTCAGTTTCGTTGCATAACTTGCAATATATGTCTAAATCGTTTCATGTTATGTTGATTGATTGCTCTACTAGTATATTCATAGCCTGCTGTATGTACAAGCGTTGTATATGGGTTCCAATTTGTCGGTGAACTTCAACCCCGACATTGACAGTACCAGCGACACTTGCATCTGCCACGACTCTCGGAGGTTGCTCGAGACACCTTTACGCGTTCATACAATCCAGAAACGACTCACGTTTCTAAATTAAAAGCTAGATCGTGCTTTAAACTGTCGGCTACCTCACTCTACATGTCACAAATGCGTTCATAAAGATTTTGGGCAGGTGAAACATCGTGCTAATTGGCGACACAAATACGAACATACACATACACACACATATATATATATATATATATATATATATATAGTTCTAATACTAGATCGAAATCGAAGCGGGAACTGTCAGTTATCTACAGGATATACATATATACTATATATATATATNTAGTACGACGTACCGAACGAACCGGAACCG